CCCCCACCCCCGTCAGGAGCCACATCCCAGGCACCTGGCCGCACTGAAGCAGCCTTCGCAAGGCTGCTCCTGTTGGGTTCTGACTGTGGCTATTGAACTTGGCCAATTAAACTTTTTACAAGTGCACAACTTAACAAGCGATTACAATATTGACTACGGAACCTCCCCCTCAATCAACAAGCTCTTTCCATCACTGTGAACCCCCTTCTCCCTGCTTCCAGGTAACTGCTAATATACAATGGTCTCTATCCAATGGCCTGTCCTTGTCCCTCTCTATCAGGGAGCCCAACAGTGTCTGGCCTTTGGCTTCTCTCAGCCTTGTGCCTTCAGGCTCCATCCACGCTGTGGCCTGTCCCTGCCCAACGCCCTTCCTCCAGCCGGCTGCGCCTTGGCCATTGCTGGTGCTCTGCTGTCCCACCTGGGAGCAGTGTGGGTGGAGCTCTGAGGCACAGGACTGGGCTTTCAGGCCTCTGGGCAGGGAGCTGGGGGAGGGCTGTGTCCTGGGCCTGCTCTGGGTGTCTGGAGGGCAGCCAGGAGTTTCCATCCAGGGTGTGCTGTCGTTCTTCGCACCAGCCACGGGCAAGGGTTTCCTTCCCCACATCCTGGCTAAGATTTGTTAGCTTTGCAAAGTGGCTAGGAACTTTTAAGTCTACATTTTAAAGAAAATTCTAGCCACCTACCCACAAAACCCAATGCCATCGAGTTGATTTAGAGTGGCTCTGCAGGATAGGGAGGGCCAGTCCATTTAGGCTCACAGTGGCCCTGCAGGACAGACTAGTACTACCCCAGAAGGTTTCTGAGGCACTAACTCTTTAGAGCAGTGGTTCTCAACCTTCCTAATGTTGTGACCCTTTAATACAGTTCCTTGTGTTGTGGTGGCCTTCCCAACCATAAAATTATTTTCGCTGCTGTGATGAATTGGGTGAACCCTGTGAAAGGGTCATTCAACCCCCAGGTTGAGAACGGCTGCTTTAGAGACACAACCTCGTCTTTCTCTTGAAGAACAGCTGGTAGAGTTTGAACTGCAGCCCTCATGGCTAGCAGCCCAACACTTAACCCATTCAGCCCCCGGGGCTCACTCTTAGCCACTTCCAAAAACCAAGCTCTCTGTCATCAAGCCGGTTCCCGACCGGCGGCAGGCGTGAACTGTCGCTGTGCATCCCCAGACCGAGTCTTTACGGAGTGCAGTAGTGCCTCATAGTGCTTCTAGTTCCTTCTAACGTGACGGCAGTGAGCACTGTCCCAGCAGGCCCGAGGCCCTGTATGACGGCCCCGTGTCCTTCATGGTGTGAGGCTCTGTGCTCACTCTGGAGACTGGGTTCTCATAGGGTCCCTTCTGTGTGAGGCCCCGTGTGTCTGTCTTTCATCACCACACTGTCCTTGAAACGTCCAGGACGTCACCTGAGCGAGCAAGTGTCTGGGACCTTCGTGGCTGGCGGCAGCTTACACGTCCACCTCGGACTGCTGGTGTGTCTGGTGGGAGGTGTGGACCCCACCCTGTCTCCTGCAAGGGGCCATCGATCGCATTTTCCCAGCCCCCCAGGAAGAGGCTCTTCCTTTCCCCCTGGAATGGCCTGGGTGCCCTTACCATCTGCCCAGAGATGAGAGCTGACATCTGGGTGCTGAGCCCTGGGTGAGCTGCCCATAACAGCACGCTGTGTGCTCAAGACCAGCCTCACTACTGGCACACCCTGAATTCAAGACTTGCAAGCCCTCCAGGAGCCCTGGCCACCCCTCTGGGGAGGTGGTGTGAGCAACAGGCCCATCTCTGTGGCTGGTCCAGAGGGCACATGCTCTGAGAGGGTGGAGGCCAGCAGAAACAGGCCACCTCAGGGTCAGGGTGGAGGAGGGGCAGTGCTGGAGAAGAGGGACTTGCCCCCACCCCATAATCCCACAAGCTCAGGCCTGGCACCTACTGCACCCGCCCCACATCACCACACACGAAGAGCTCGTACCCATGTGGAGTGTCACAGCTGCACCTCCACCCTACTACCCAGGGACTGTCCCTTCGCCCATGTCCATGGTCACCAAGCCCCTACAGCCTGTCTCCTGTCAGCTCAGGCCAGAGCCTGGATGCTTGGACCGCAGTAGCTGCCGAATACCACCCATCAGCTGCACACCGCTAGCTGCTGGCCCTGGGACCACCAGTCTCTGGTCTCGGTCTGAGGGTCCCACCTCGTGCCTCTGAATGCTCCCAGGCAGACACACACCACTTTCATGAAGGGTGGTGGGATGACCATCACAGACTAGGGTCGGCTGTGACAGGTAGGGGAGGCCTGGCCCACACTAGTGTGCATCCAGCACTGTGGGCCTGGCCTGAGGCTCCACCCTCACAGCTCTGTGCAGGCCAGGGAGGGTGGAGGGATGGGGCAGGCCCCACCCTCAGCCTTCTCCACACTCTGCAATCTAGGCTGGCCATTCCCAGAACCCTGTAAGCCTGGGTCTTTCCCCCAAGGGGGACACATGAGAGGAAGGAGGGAGGCCAGGTACAGACCTGGTCTTTGAGGGTCCCTCTGAGCAGCAGTCAGGAGAGGCTCAGATAGGGACCCACCTTTATTGCTGAAGACAAGTGATGCCAGTGGCTGGGGCCTCTTCTGGGGAGAGATCCTGTCTGTCAGGCCGGGTTAAGCCAGTACAGTGGCCCTCCGGCTGGAGGAAAGGGGGCCGGTGAACACTGGGTCAGGAGGCAGAGGGGAGAGGCAGGAGGAGCTGGTGTGAGCAGGTCCAGGAGGCAGGGAGCCCAGTCCTGCCCTGCTGCTGGGCTCAGTGGGTGGCTGGGAGGCTTCCTTCATCCAGGACGAGGCGGGGCAGCTCCAGGCCTCACAGACGGGGCTTGATGTGCAGGGATCTCCCTGTGGCCCAAAGCAGTGGTCAGTGGTCAGGATGCTCCAGGAGACGATGCTCCAGTGCCAAGCAGGGAGCTGGATCCAGCCTGGGGCAGGCGGTACAGACAACACCCCCAGAGGGGGGGTGTCCCAGGGAGCCCCTTGGTGGAGCACTCACACCAGGAGCCTGGCTGACACTTGGATGCATGCGCGCGCGCACGCACACACACACACACACTCACCAAACACGCGCGCACACATATACACAATGCCCTCACATAAACACACTCCTGCATGTATCCATGCATGTCTATAATGCATGCAAACACCACATAGGATATACACTCATGTACACACAGATGCATACAGCCATGCATGCAGACAACACATCCCAGGCACATTTACACGTGCACACGCTACTCACTCATATACACACACATGCACGCTCGTGCACACATGCATGTGTAAAGCTGCCCGGGCTGGGTGTGTGGGAGGGGGACAGAGGTTCTTGTGCAGACAACACTGGAGTCTGGAGGTAAGAGGTCAGCGGGACAGTGGGTGGTGTCCAGGGGGCATCCCTGGGGACCACAGGTGTCTCTCCCAAGTCCCCAAGCACCAGGCTCTAAGACAGACCCAGGTGGGACCCTGAGAGCGTTGCCACCTGGGGCGCTGTCCTGGCAGGTGAGGCAGCTTCCTATAGGGTTGTCCCAGGCAGCACCCCAGGGTGCAGGGAGGGGGAGCAGCCCTTCTACCAGGCCCAGTGCCAGGCGCTGAGCGAGCAGTGGAGCTGCTCGAGAAGGCTGTAGCCAGCATCTTCCATTAACGTTACGACCGTGAAATATGACAATACAATGATCGCCGTATGGGCGCAAATTTGCAGCCCGCCGGGCTGCCTGGGGTTTATCGTCGCTCAAACGCGCAGAGAGCTGTAAAATGTTTACAGACAGGGTCGTTTGCAGCCATAAAACCCTCTTTTCTCTCCTAAACAAGGCTGAGTGGAGCCATTTACCAAGCCCCGAATGTCCACCGGGGGAGAGCAACATCTGTTCCCGGCAGGAGCTGCAGCTATCGGCGCCAGCAAATTAACAAAAATGGGTGCTTTCTAATTAAATCATCCCTCGGCTGGGACACGGCCGCTTGCAGGCCAGGGCTCCTACCTGAGTCCTTGCTGGGGGGGCTCCCCTGGGCACGGGATGGGCTAGGGGAACTCCCCAGTGCGATGAAGGAGGGCAGCCTGGGGGCTGCTCTGGCCGACGCTGGCTCCTGGGCACAGGCCACCTCAGAGTCCACGGGGGCAAAGCCGGCCTCAGCTGAGCCCAGGGGCTCCGGGGCCCTGGGGGTCAGGGAACCGGGAGGCAGCCTGCTGGTACGCTGGGCAGCTGCGGGCTTCCTGGAGGTGGGGGACAGGCCGTGTGAGAGGGCCTGTCCATCCCCCTCCCAGTGCCCACTGCCCAAGGCCTCGGGGCTGGCAGGTCATAGCTGTCCCGGCCTGGGAAGCTGGGGCTCTCACCCACGTCACAGGCCTGACCAGCCCACCCAGGGCCACCCCTCCCATGGGTCCATCCCTTCACTGCCTGCCCCCGACCCACCAGGCTCTGAGCAGCCAAGGGCCCAGGCCTGGGCGGGACCTCCAAGGAGCACACCCTCAGCCTTGCATTGTGGAGGGTCTTTCTGGGTGGAGACCCAGAGCTGGAGGGTGGGGCTGTGGGCAGAGGCACTGGCCAGAGCCTGTTCTCACCTGGGCCCGTGACCGACAAGGACCCTGCCCCTGAGGGACGCTTCACTGGGCACGGAGGCCGAGGGGCTGCGTCTGCTGGTGCGCTTCCGGCTCCGGTGGAGCAACTGGCACTGGGCGCCACGGGGGCAGACGCCGCGTCGGGCGAAGTCCGGGCAGAGCAGTGTGTGCTTCTTCTTGCACTACGGAGAGATGTGCGGTGGGCACCCGCCTCGGCCAGGGCTCCCCTTCCCCCTATCCCCCCAGTCTCAGGAGATGTGTGGTGGGCAACGCCCCGGCCAGGAGCTCACCCCTCACTGCCTGTCTCGGAAGACGGGCAGTGGGCACCCGCCCCGGAGTCCCCCCCTGCCACAAGTCTTGGAAGACATGCGGTGGGCATCCACCCTGGCCAAGAGGCCCCAAAGACCCCGCCCCCTGCCCCACCCCCAGTTTTGGGAGAAGTGCAGTGGACACCCACTCAGGCTGGTGGCAGCCCTCTCAGTTCTGTGCCCTCCAGGCAGGGAGTGAGCGGGTGGCAGCAGTCCCAGCTCTGCTGGTCCCTGGCAGGCTCCGGGCCTTGAGGCAGGGCTCCCCCTGGGCCTGGTGACATGGGTCGGCCGAGGCCAGCACAGCTGGGGGCCAGAAGCGGCTGCCTGCTCACCCAATCCACAGCACCTGTCTGTCAGCTAATTATACCCGAGGGTGGGGTGGTTGTGGCAGGTGCTCTGGGAATGAGGGCACCACCCTGTCAGGGAGTCCAGCACCCAGGCCTCCCTGAGGGCAACCACACGGCCAGCTGGGCCGCATGGACATAGACCACACAGCCCACTGGGCAGAACCAGCTCCTGACGAAGTCCAACTCAACCCCCAAACTCACAGGCTCCGGGGTCCCTGCAGGCGGCTCACAGTCACCTCTGGGGCCTAACAGAGCTGCCAGTAGCCTCGAGTTCCCCTCGAGTGGCTGCTGGCCTAGAGCCACTGACCGACCATAGTCACGCATGCTTTAACCGCTGCGCTCCAGGCACGGCTATTACTCACAGCTGCAAGCACCTTGTCCCACCCTTCCAGGGCAAGGAGAGCCACCATGCAGTGCAGGCACCCTGCTTGTAGCCCCGAGCAGGCACATGGCCCCCACTCTTGGGGCCGCACACACATCCCATCCCCTGCAGGAGGTTTCGCCAGGCCTCTGCACCTGAGGTGGCCCTGCTGGTGTTCGCCCATCAACCCACCCACGCTTTCCCTCCACATGGAGCTGGCGTGCGTGCGTGTGTGCGTGCGTGGCAGGGTCCTAAAGCCTCCCCCAGCCTCCCTCGGGGAGTCTGCCACCTAGAGGCACTCGTGGCACATGGCGTGGCTGTGGGTGCAGCCACGCAGACGAGCGAAGCTGGGAAAGGCACCAGCGCTGCGTAGGACAGTGAGTGTGTGGGCGTGGGTGTTGCCACGGGTGCAGATACCTGTGACCCAGGCGTGGATGTAGAAGTGATGCTGGCATGTATAACGCAGGTGTGGATGTAGAAGTGGGTGCAGGCACACGTAGCACAGGTGAGAGTACAGACATGGGTGCAGGCAGGCGTGGCCTGGATGTGTGGCTGCAATGTGGGTGCAGGCAGGCGTGGCCTGGACGTGTGGCTGGGGTGTGGGTGCAGGCAGGTATGGCTCAGGCATGGACATCCAAGCAAGGTACTTGGGGCTCAGACACGCAGCTCAGGGAGGGCAAACTCAGGGAGACAAGCTCCGAGAGGGCAGGCGAAGGTACAGAAAGTCTGCCTGGGAGAGGGAGAGGGTCTTGAGCACCCCAAACTCGTGGGACGGCATGGAAGTGGAACATGCTACCGCCACGGGCAGGAACTCAGAACAGGAAGACTGAAAACATCACCTCCGTAGCCCCTCTGCTCCGCCCGGAGCCCTTCGCGCGCGGGCTAACCCTTCAGGGGCGGGCTAACGCCCCACAGCCAAACCCTCGAGGTGCTGCAGATCAGAGAGCCCACCACAGGGTTTCCCAGCCTCAAACTGCTCCCTGGGCAGGCAGATCTGCCTTTTTTCCTGGGTGAGTCTGGGGCTACCAAGCCCCCTCTCCTCTGGGATCCAAGAACACGTTGCTGAACTCCCACCCAGTCTTGCTTTGTCATGTGGCTGCCGGAGAGTGAGCAGCACATGAGAGGTTTGCAGCTGTGGCTCACCTCCTCCCGAGAGCCACCCCAGGCCACAGACAAAGCTCACAGAGTGCTTCCTCACCCTACCGGCCACGGGCCACAAGGCCAAGAACGCGCTAGGAAACGGCTGACCACAGCAGAGGGAGGTGGGGGTGGACGGCGAGCCAAGAGCACATGACATGGGGCGTGCAGTGTGTGACGTAGGGCCAGAATGGCCAAGGGCAGGGCCTGCAGACATGTGTGTGGTAGCAGGCACAGAGCTACCACTGTGGAAATGGGAACCCACCTCTTCCAGCCATGGATGGATCAAGGTGGCCAGCACTAGCGAGGGTAGAGCAAGCCTGGACAACAGGTGGCAGCTGCTGCGTCCGGCAGCACGCAAATGAACAGACTGTTTTAATGAGTGTGTACAGTACCCTCCGGCCCCAGCTGCCACCCGTGCTCCTGCCGTGAATTGGGAACATTGCCAGCACCAGGCCGGCCTCAGCAAGCCTTCCTCACGATGTTCAGAAAGTAAAAAGCAAAGCAGAGCCCACCAGCCTGAAACCCCAGAACCCTGAGGATATACAGAAGCTCAGCAATGTACGGTCACAGAAGAAATGATGGAGACTAAGGTAGAAACCTAACCACCTAGCACAACCAGAGAGCACGTCCAGATCTGTGGGAGGCGGCCAAAGCAGTGTTTAGAGGGAAAGACATAGCCCTGATGTCACAGGAGGAAAGGAGAGCCTCTCTCAAGAACTCGAGGGAGATATAGCGTCTGGGGTCTTAAAAGCTTGAAGGTAAACAAGCGGCCATCTAGCTCAGAAGCAACAAAGCCCACATGGAACAACATATCAACCTGT